ACAGAGCCTGATGTGGGGCTCAAACTCACAAGCCATGAGATCATGACCTGAGCCGAAATCTGCCACTTAACCAACTGAGCCACCCAGGTGCCCCACTTTTAGTTTTTATTGTGGAACCATAAAGGATTTTTTGTTTCAGGTGAATTTTAGTATCACAAAATATTTAACATTTTTATGAGTGATGAGGAGTGGGGATGTTTTCAGATTTTTCAGTAATAAGGCTGTTATGAGAACAGTCTTAACGAGTATAACTCATGGTCAAAAGGACCATTAATTAGCAAATGTGAGAGCAGTAGAGTATATTTTATTGCTTAAAGGCTCATGCTGTTGTGAATAATGTGAATAATAACATATAATTTACTCCAAGAGGTTTACTTTATATCTTCGCAGAGAATCATAAATTCAGGGGGGGATCTTAAGAAGCCATTTATATTTTCTCCACCTTTGGACAGGAGATTTCTCTTGTAACCTTCTCACACCTTCCCTGAAATATTTAGTCCCTTCAAATAAGTACTTACAGTGTTATGCGGTTTTTCCACAGTAGCCAAAAACTTGTGTATTTCAATTTATTTTATTTTATTAAAAAAATTTTTTTTAATGTTTATTTATTTTTGAGACAGAGAGAGACAGAGCATGAACAGGGGAGGGTCAGAGAGAGAGGGAGACACAGAATCGGAAACAGGCTCCAGGCTCTGAGCCGTCAGCACAGAGCCCGACGCGGGGCTCGAACTCAAGGACCGCGAGATCATGACCTGAGCCGAAGTCGGCCGCTTAACCGACTGAGCCACCCAGGCGCCCCTGTATTTCAATTTAAAGCTAAGTTTCTCCACATGCCATATACTTTGAGAATCTCGTCACAGATGTGTTATTTTAATTCTCGATTCTTTAATGTGGTTTACTCCAGCAGCATTTCCCTGCGTATGCTGTCTCTCGGAACGCCAATACCAGAAGACGGTATTGTGACAGAAAAGAAGTTTCCATGGTTACAAAATTTGGTAGGCCCTGTATGCTATTGGACTCTCTTGGACATGATCTTATTGTAGTTATCACAGTCTCCGGAAGTTGTCCGTGGACCACAGTACTTAAGGAACAACTAGAACGCAGTCAGCAACCAACATATCAAAAAGCAAAAATAAGTGTACAGGTGATTCAGATGTGCAGCTGGGCGAGAACCGTCGGTTTTGATTGCAGGATCCTATCCCAGGGCACAGCAGATATGGGGATAAGGGTTCTGAGTATGTGGGAAGATGGAATGGGAAGCTATGTGTCATGGGCGGTCTTCAAGCATAGGAGGTAAAATGGGAAAACAAGTACCCAGACAGCCTTATTGGATTTACACAGTGACGTAACTCAGTCCTATTCAGTACTGAAAAAGAAATTCCCTAAGACAGATCTTTGAACAAGTAGAATCATGCCTATATGTTGCAGTCATTATTTTAAGTGGTACAGTTAGTGTTGTTCTACAGACAAACTCATGATGGTCACATTGCTACATCCTGCTTTGATCCTACTCCAGTGATGAAACATCACCTCCACAGAGTAATGACAGTGATCCCATTGCCAGGGGTGCTCTTTTTCTATGCATTGGTTCCTCTACCTTTCTCCTTTAGGGCTAACAGTTATTCTGCACACGGGTAGGTAAACCAGAAGAATGAAGTAGATTAAGCATGATGAGGGACTGCTCAGAGAACTTTAAGGAGTGAAGAGAGGCTCTTTTTTCAAGTAGGTTAGCGAAGGAGGCAGATTCACCTTTCGAAGGATGTGGACTGTGGGCAGGGGCCTGAAGGTCAACTGGAATATAAGTAGACTAGGAAGAAAGGGAACAGATGCTACATGTAGGGGGAACAGCATGTGCAAAGGGGAGAGTTGAGAATGAGCTTGTAGTGTATGAGGAAGAGTGAAGAGTCCCCAAACAACCAATGTATTTAGGGGTTTCTACTTCCTCTCTCACTCTGCCTCAGGAAACTACGTAAGTCATGTTTTTGAAAGGAACTGGAAACACCTACCCTCAAGTGTTTTATTGTCAAACTTGAATAATACAAATTCTGATCAGTGGGTCCAGAAAGAAATAAGCTGACCTATGATGCATCAAAAGCCAGTCTTCGGCCAGGCATTTTAGGCCCTACAGAACAAGATCCCATTTACCAAGCCATGGTGGCTCTCACTTCTCACCATCACAGACTCTATTCCAACGAAGCAGACGTCTTCCAGTCCTTACACACTTTATGGTCATTTTTGCCTCCAAATCCTTGCTTATGCCCTCCGTGCACAGAAAACCCTCTGTGGTTTTCATTGCCCATTAACCTGCCCATCTAGTTAGTTTCTCAGATTATAAAATTATTTCCCTGCCTTACGTTTTAAAATATTATTGTCTAAAACCAAGTATGTCAGCATTCCAGGGGCACCAGGGTGGCTCAGTTGGTTAAGCGTCCAACTTTGGCTTAGGTCATTCTCTTACCATTTGTGAGTTCAAACCCCGCACTGGGTTCTCTGCTGTGAGCACAGAGCCTGCTTTGGATCCTCTGTCCCCCCCTCTCTCTCTGCCCCTCCACAACTAATGTTTTCTCTCTCTCTCTCTCTCTCTCTTTCTGTCTCAAAAAAAAAATCAAAAATATAAGTCAGCATTCTACTGTTTTATATTCTTATATTATTATTTTCTGATCATTAATTGCATCTTGGTTTTTTTTCTGTCCAAAATGATATAGTCCTTCAGGCTAGCTAAATCTATGATACATATCTCTTATCCTGCCTTATCTTGGGTTAATAGATGTTCAATAATTACTTCAATTGTTACCAAAGCATACATTTATTTAGCATAAGACCCTGAGGAAATTTGTCATTCAATAGCTGCATTCTCATGGCTAGGCAAGTTTCAGAAGTGTCCTAGCACCGCAATAACTAGATGGCACTCCCCATGTCCTAGCAAGTGTCCTAGCACCGCAATAACTAGATGGCACTCCCCATGTACAGCGTGCTTTCATATCCAGTGTCATACTGTTTCTACAAGAAGCATGAATGGTGGGTAAGCATGATATTGCCCATTTTATAGATGAAGTGACTGTGGTCCAGAGAGTTGAAATAATCTGCTCCAGATCAGAGGGTGGATGTCACAGCAGGACTCAAACCCTCATCTTATGGTTCTGAATCTAAAGTGGAGGACAGGACTGGGCAGGCAGTGGGAATGGGGAAATCTGTGGTGCGGAGAGAATTTACCGGAAGGAGGGACAATCAAAAGGGTATTAGGAGTTCTAAAGATGAATTTGGACGTGGGGCAAGACTTGAGATGGTGGGGGGTGGGGGGGCGGGAGGTTGGCAGCCAGAGATTTCTCCTTCCAGAAGCTCCAGTTCTTACAGCTCCCAACAAGAAGGATTTTGAATGAACACTAACCGCGTGACTGTCCTCAAACTGTGCATGATAGGAGACAGTAGCTCCAGACTCCGGTTCATCAGGAGGGTCACGGGTGGGTGGAGAAGTCCCATTTAGGCTTTAAGTTGGAAGTTAGGAAAAGGTTAGATCTGCGTCTTTTGGAGAGGTTGAATGGCATCCTTAGATCTCTGCTCATCAGTCTTTCACCAACTGTGAGGCACAGGACTCTAAGTTCAACTTGCAGGCTGATGGGTTCTGTCCCAAATGGCTTCCTAGGGGGCTGAACAATGACATCTATTGGTTCAATTTGACATAGGTTCAAAAGTGGTAGAAACATCCATGCTTAGTATCCCCCCCCCACCCCAAACAAATAATAATAACCATACCAGAGGAAGTTAAGATATCAACAGGATGCTCTATCTCAGGAGCATCGCACCAATCAACTTCCAGCATTGGGGATATTGTGTAATGTATACATATATTTTTTTACAGAGCCCATCAAAGACTTTCTGTAAGGCTTTTAAAATCAAAATTCAGTAGAAACACTAGGGCCTGTGTGTTTCGGGAGTTTCTCATTGCTCAAGAGCTCATCCTGGAGCAAGAATAAGATAATTTAGGAAATGGATTTGAAGGGGTGATGGATTAATGAAATTGCTTTCTGCTTTAGGAAACTTGAACCCCAAATCTTCCTGTGCATGAGCCTTGTGAGTTACAGCCAGGATTGCACTCCTCTCTAAGAATGTCAATATATCCTTTAAAATCTCCTAGTTGTTAACTTCATTTAGTAAAGAGTCTACGTTCTTTTGTATTCAATGCTCTAATAACTAATGATTCTATTTCTTCTTTTAGAAAAGTGCCAAAGTCCGCTGAACATATAACTGATAGAGATGCTCTTTTGGGCAATTTGGATAATCAAAAATATATCATACTCTGTCAAATTAAAAAAAACATTTTATATATTTATAAAATATATATTTAAAAATTTAAAAAATGTTTATTTATTTATTTTGAGAGAAAGAGAGAGCACATGCACATGGGAGGGGCAGAGAGAAAGGCAGAGAGAGAAAATCCCAAACAGGCTCCACAATGTGAGCACAAAGCCCGATTTCTCACAAACTGTGAGATCATGACCTGAGCCAAAATCAAGAGTCACCCAGTTAACCGATTGAGCAATCCAGGCACCCCTATGATATATTTTAAATATTGATGGAATGTTTTCCCTCTCTTCCCATATATATATATATAATGTATACTTCCTATAATATCTTCTCTTAGCTCAGACCTTTATAAAAATTGCTAAGAAACAGTAAAATGGATGGAGCTTGGTCTTCAATGTCTTATTCACCCAAGGGAGGGGTGAAGTGAAGTGACAAGAGAGTAGCAATGATAAAGAAGTAAGATAATGCAGGCTTGAATAATCTATCTGCACACTGAATAGTTGAATACTGACATATCTGGGTCATTGAAGAAAAGTACTAAAGTACTCACTGGTTATTAGTTGGGGAATCAAGTCTGACCCCAGGAACTTGCTTTGCATTGTAAAACAGGTTATGGGATGGTTCAAGTGGCTTATTCGGGTCTGTTGCCATTTCTACTGATTTGCTTTTCAGGCTCCTGGTCGCTTGAAGAGAGCATGGCGCTAAACCACACTGCCCCGCCCCAAGATGAGCGCCTGCCACACTACCTTCGAGAAGGAGACCCCTTTGCTTCCAAACTTTCCTGGGAAGCGGATCTAGTGGCTGGCTTTTACTTAACAATAATTGGTAAGCTTCCTTAATTTTTCTGTGCAAAGGCTGTGTGTAGGAAATTCATGGGCTAACATGTTGACTTTGCACAAGGATTCAGATATTTATGTAGATATTTTGAGTGGAACTGGAGAGTGGAAAGAAGGTAGAGGATGGGGTGGCATTGTGAAATTCAGTGAATGTTTCATAGAAATGACTCTATTATCTTTATTATTAGTGATGGATATTCCCTTGATCATCATGGAAGTTTTATAGCAAAATCACTTATCCTGAGACTATTTTGGTTGCTTTGGGAGTAGGTTTGTCTTCTGAATAGTAAAATTAATGATAATGATATCTTATTTAAATACAGTGGTTCTTTTACTTTTTACAAAATGCTTTTGATATAATCATAAGATGATAGGCTCAGAAAGGACCCTAGAAATCACCTCCTCTTCTCATAATTGAGGAACTGTCCCCAGACTGTGGCGACAACAGACACGCTAAGTTTATTTGCACCCAAAGTAGAGTGGCCCCATGATGGCATCACTAAGTGATTTTGGTGAGAGGTGGAAAAATGTATTGATAATAAAATGGGAGTAAGCCCAGGGTCAAAAAGTTTTATGCATAATCCAGAACATGGTGCACCTGCTTCCAGACTGTGCTTTCCAATGTGGTGGCCATGTGTGGCTTCTGGGTACTTGAATAGTGACTTTTCCAAAAGATGTGCTGTAGTGTAAATATACGCGAGATACTGAACACTTAGCACTAGAGAAAATAATGTAAAGACAGCTCATTAAGGATGTAAAGAAATTGACTACATGTCAAACTCATAACATTTCAGGTATACTAGGATAAATATATTACTAAAATCAACCTAGTAATTGTTTTACTTTGTTTACTGCGGCTAACAGAAAAGTTTGAAATACATACAGCTCACATTTCTGGTTTACACTGTATTTCTATCGGACAGCAGTAGCCTAGCCGATTAGAATTCAACCACAAAACTTCTTAAATTTAAAACTGGTGTTCTACATTTGGGTAACCAGTGCACAGGTGGGTTATGTCTTTGGGGGTGTCTGCCTGTAATCTTTTCAGATTTGGGTCAAGCTTTGTTTCTCTCTCCTTCTCTCCCTCTCTCTTCGTCTCCTTCTCTCTCTCCCATCTATTTATTACGGGCTAAGAATTTCATTTAACCTCCCGAAATTAGAAAACTCATTAGAAAAGTCTGGAGACACCTCTATGGTCAGTGCTTGAGGCAAAAGGAATTGATGAGATTGAATCAGAAATTCCATGCAGAGGGATTCCCTGGGTCCTTGGCTTGATTGTTAGCTATTATCAGATGATTTAAATTCTGCTTCTTGTAAATGGACCCTCATGTCCTTTCAAACACAAGTATATATTGAGTGCTCATTCTTTGCCACTGTTTAAATTTCTGGGAATACAGCAGTGAACAAAATGGGCAAATTCTCTTTCTGGACAGGGACCATCTGATAGTAAAATCCACACTGCATTTTCATTAAACACAAGCACTTTCAATTATCAGAAAAGGCACAACAATTGACATCTTATAAATTGAATTTGTCTCAGTCAATTGCAAGAATTGGTTTAAAAAAAAAAAAAAGTAGCATCTCTAACCTGACAAATTTCTCCAGATAACACAAAAGAGGGAGGGATCACAGTCCATTCCCTGCGCTGGCAGGGAGGATCTCAGGAAGAGAGGTAACCAGGCTGGGTGGGTTGGGCAATCAGGAAAATTTCTCACTTGTTTTATTTGGGGATGGAAGGAAAATCCACAGTCAGTTTGAAATGGGCATGCTGGGGTGAAGCTAGAAAAATAGGTCCAAAAAGAGTCCCCAAACAAAGGGAATATCAGATGACTCAGGGAGCTGGGAGTGGAGCCGAAGATGTTCCAGAACAGCCATTCAGGGTGAGGCCAGGGTCATTTGGAGGGATTTAGGCTCATCCTAGACCCAGTCTTGGATTTGGTGCTATGTCTGTTTTTCACCCCTCCTAAGATAGGTATGGGAATATGCCCAGATTCCTTTCAAGGAACCAGAGTTCAATGACATTCTTGGTGAGTTTGGTTAAATACTGGAAGTCTTAGGGAAAATTGGAAGATGAAAAGACAGATGTGACCTTGGATAGAGGAGAAATCAATTAGAGACCCATTTCCACCCTCAACCCTTTTACTATAGATACTTGGTTTATTATTAACAGTCTGTATATGAGATTTCATTGTTTTGTATTCATAGTGAGAGTCAGGATTTTGATCATCAAAAAACATCCCCTCCCCCCCCGCATTTAGCTTCTTAATCTTGTTTTCCTTTATCATCAAAAATAAGTTTGCATTCTCTTGAGAATCCCCTCCAGAGAAGATTGCCTATGGGAATAATCTACATGCAGCTGATAGTTGACTTTTTTTTTGTGATAATGCTTTGGGCACTGGGTGAAGCCTTATGAAACATTAGTAAAGATAATTGAAGAAAGAAAAAGTAAGAAAATCCATATTCTCAAAAGAGAAGTAGAAAGACAAAGGGTGTTTAAAGGAGCTTTGTGTATCAAATACATATGTATACTTACAGTTTTTAATCTTCTTGGATACAAAGTAGAAGGCATTTGTTTGAACTTCTTCAAGCCATGTCTTCACGTTTTAATATCCCAGTGTGCCTTGCTAACTGGTTTCCTTTAATGAGATGTAGGCTTCATTTTAGGTGCTTTGCTCTAGAACTCCCTAATCTCTTCTATTTTTTTCCTCTTCTGTCTTAAGAAAGCTAAAGAGGTTTTACCAGACCATTAGGCAGCGCTGACTCCAGGAATTCATAATTTCCTAAGAGCACAATGCAGTTCGTTCCTGGTGGTTTCATACCATCAGCTGAAACACACATTTCTTCCCTTGCCCCTAAAATGAATTGTGGTGGAGAAGTAGAAATTAACATAGAAAAATCTGGGTTTCTCCTGTTAATACTCTCCTTATTCCTTACTACTAAAGGCAGCTGTACCAGATTCTCATTTATACACAGCTACACTATGAAGCAAGAATTCCTGAAGAAATCTACTCTACATGTTAAGCTATGGAAGTAGGTGTATTCTTTTCTTAAATAAAGTCAGTAGGGATTGGGTCTTTTTTGGATTTAAACTGGGTTTGTAAGAACTTTTGAACAGTATCATTGTAATGCCAAAGCCAATTAGTCATTAATAAAAGGATATAAAAAAGTGGGAACACATTTATACCATTATTGGTAGGTTGGAGGGTTGAGGGTCACTTTCCCTCCCTTTGGTGGGAGGGGGAGAGCCCATACGATCAACTGTCACCCACTTCCCCTTAAGACCTAGTCCAGTAGAAGCAGCAGACACCCAGCGTCCATGTGTCCTCAGGAGGCAAGAAGTCCTGGGATGTGTCTCCAGGAGATGACCCTTTCCTTGCAGGGGTTTACGCCAGCCCTATCTGGCCTCTGCCTCTCCTGACTGCTGGTGCTCCCTCAGGAGTCCACGGCGATAGTGAAAGCACCCTGTTTGGTTGGGGTCACTTCAGCGTCAGAATTTATCAAGAGCCAAGGGCTTAACCCTACTTCTTAGAGGGAGGGAGTTCTATAAAGCCAATACTTGGTAAAAGTGGCTGAGGAAGTACTCCATCTTGGGGGCCAGTACAAGAACTGACCATGGGGATTCCCACACCCTCCTGAGCTTCACTGGGAAATTAGCAGTTCCTTTTTCTGGGTAAGTGCAGTCTTATGATCCCTGACTCCTATCCCTTTGGAGGCAACCCATCCCTCGCCTGTCACTCGCAACTCATGCTTTTTACTTCATCTTCTTAATTGAGATTTTTATTTAGAGTCCTCTCACTACCCTCTAAACCTATGGTGTCCATTTTTGAAATTGAGAAGTGTTTCATAACCGAGGGAACCCCAAATCCTAGTGTTAACGGCGGGAATTTATATTTTTCCTTGTAGGGATTCTGTCCACATTTGGAAATGGGTATGTCCTTTATATGTCTTCTAGACGAAAGAAGAAGCTGAGACCTGCGGAAATAATGACTATCAATTTAGCAATCTGTGATCTGGGGATTTCAGGTAACACAACCGTTTCTTCTTTGGGGGTTTGAGCTGTGCCCCATTCTCAAGTCCTCACTGGCCCAGAGATCACCCCTCCCCCATCTCCTTTTGCTCCTCCCTTCACACATCATCTTTACAGAGCTTGTGGTAAGTCAACAGAGTGTGATCAGGCTAAACAGATCATCCACTTAACATTTATTGAGTCCTTTCTGTGTGCTGAACACGTTAGGTGCAAGGAATACAATTTGGAATAATGCAGGATACCTTCTAAGGCTACACCTCAGAGTGTACCAGCTAAATGATTTAGAAGACAGAAACTTACAGATCATGGTTTTGAGCTCTTTTATACCCCTGCTGTCCTTTTGGAAATCTGTTAAACACCAAGGGAGTAGGTCTTAAAGCTTCAGTATGAATGGGTACCTGGGTGGCTCAGTCGATTGGGCGTCCGGCTTCAGCTCAGGTCATAATCTCGCAGTCCATGGGTTCGGGCCGCATGTTGGGCTCTGTGCTGACAGCTGAGAGCCTGAAGCCTGCTTTGGATTCTGTGTCTCCCTCTTTCTCTACCCCTCCCCCACTCGCACTCTCTCTCAAAAAATAAATAAACATAAGAAAAAAAAAGCTTCAGTGATGGGTGAAGAAGTCTGAGAAGCGTGCCTGGGTGGCTCAGTCGATTAAGCGGCCAACTCTTGATTTCAGCTCAGATCATGACCTCATGGTTCATGGGTTCAAGCCCCCATCAGGCTCTGTGCTCACTGCACGGAGCCTGCTTCAGATCCTCTGTCTCCTTCTTTCCAGCTGTCTTCCACTTGCCCTCACTCTTTCTCTCTCTCACTCTCTCAAAAATAAATAAATGTTAAAAATTAAAAAAAAAAACAGTCTTGAGATGGTCTGAGAGGTGAGTACAGGAAGAGGGGAGGGCTGTCTTGCTGATATATTGAAATGTGGCTTCAGGACTGATTGATAGTGTAGGAAGCTTCCAGTTCAGTTGTTCTGGAAATTGGAAATTGGCTGCACAAAAAAGTCACTTGGGGAACTTAAACAAACAAAAAACAGAAGCAAAACCCAAAAACAACAAGAAAAAAACAAACAGCAACAACAAAACACACACACAAAAATCCCCCTTAAAACCTCACCACTGGGTTTCATACCCAGAATGTTTATTTACTTGATTGAGAATGTTACCTGGGCATCAGGATATTTAAAATTGGTATTACCAGGTAAGTTAATGTGTGGCCCAAATTGGAAACCACTGGTTTATTTGTTGCTTCTTTGGATCCTCTGATAACCCAGCCAAGGAGGAATTGGAATAAAATTTCTCTTTAACTGTAATTCACTTTTAAAATATAAATGATTTTGGATAAGTAGCCTCCCTTTGCTTTCATCTATAAAGTTCCAGGGTTGCCTGCACTCAAATGTGCCTTTGGATCCCAAATTCTGCTGATTGGAGTATGGTCTTAAGTTACTAGAATTGGGGAAACTGAGTTCAAACAACACACATCAATTCCTCTTTCCACTGGAAACTTTTCAGCAATTTCCCACCTCAAACGTCCCTATTAAAATGTTTTCTGATACTTGGTTCTTCCTTCATCAGTGGATTTTTCTGCGGCTGCCAATCTCCAAAAACAAGGCTCAATAAGCCTCTACTGTTGAGTCACTGTTTATCACCAGATGTGCTACCCCTGAGAATTTGCATGGCCTTCCTTACTTGGGAAGACTTTACTCAGTATGGACAGGCTTAAATATCAGGAGCTCTTATTGGAAATGCACGCGCACATTAAGAGAAACATATTACATCATACCCCATGGGTGAAAATCGCCAAGACGAACCCTGGCAATTTGCAAAGCTGAAAAATGGCTGCCATTTTAGCAATGGCCACACGATGGCGGTGTCACAACATAAATGATAGCTTTCCCGGTCAACTCCTCCCTGCTCACCCCCAACCGGTTTCTCCCTGGTGTTGAACATAAAATGTTCAAATGAAACCCGCCATTTCATCCACATCCCTCACCAGAGAATGCTACCAGGTTCATGTTTAAGGCCGAATTAGACTAAACTTGAATAAAAAGGTCCTTAATTGGTCTGATACATTGAAAATGCTTCCCACCAAGCAAACCTGCTCTACAATTGCACAAACCACCTCATTATTCTGCATATGTCTTCAGAGTAATTCACCAAGAAAACATTTTCTTCCATGTGCTTTTGCTGACGAACCCAGATCATTTTTCAACTTCTGAGTATCTCTAACACATTTCCCATTCCAGTAAACCTTAACAATATTTGCCTGTTTTATTTATTTTTTCCTGGCCCACTGTATTCCCTTATAAGCACCTTGAAGTGCATACTAGAGACCAGGTGTATTTCATCTATGTAACTAATATGGCTCACAATTGTGCATATGAAGTAGAATCACCTGGGAATGTCTCCTCTGCCTGGAACATTTCCCCTCTAGATACTTGCTTGAGTTCTCTAGCAGTGATTTAGACATCTTCCTAAATGTCATGTTCTCAGAGAGGTCTTCCCTGATCCCCTTATGTAAAACAATTTCTGTCTATCTCCTCCTGTTTCATTTTTCCTCACAGCACTAATGACTAACGATCGTTCCATCGTGTTGTATCTTACATTACAAATTACGTATTTCTCTTCTCTGCCCTCCCTATTATAAAACGCATTTGTCTGTCTTGACCTCCACTTTGTCCTCTAGCACCTTGCTCTGAGATTGTTACATAAGAGACACTGAATCATTATTTGCTGAATAAGAACCAGTTCTTTTACACTCAGTATCCTCACTGACAAGAGGGCAAGACCACTGGGATTGAAAGCTCTGAAATGGGGGTGTAAGTCTAGCACAATGGAGCTGTCACAACCACTAGAGGAGATGTGTGTCTCACTCACAGAGGCACTCGAGAAACACGTGTTAACTGGCTCCACTCTCAAGAACTCGGTGTACCTCTGTCTACTGAAGAAGGGCCACACCTGGGAGGGGGTAGGACGGGGCTGGCACCCGTGACTAGGGGTTCCTCGGTTTTCCTGGTGCAGAAAGGTTAGAGAACCTCATGATAGAATAGATCAGATGGAGGTTTTAGAGAGCTTCCTCAGCACTATTCCCTCTGGGAGCGTGAAGATTGAATGTGATAGCTGAATACGAAGGGTGCAAAAAATAGAAGAATGTTTTCGAGAATGTAAAAAACACAAAAACACTAATGGAGGCTGAAGGAATAAATAGTTTAAATCCCGGAAGTCTGGGTCTGGTTGTAGACCAAGGGAACCTACCATTGACTAAAATAGCTGTATCTCTTGTCTGAATAGACTAACTCAACAGGGAGTTGAGGCAGGTGGGTAATTTTAACTGGAGGGAACATCCCTTGACAAATTGCTTGGCCCTCTAGTTGTAGGCAAACCGTTCACCATCATCTCTTGCTTCTGTCACCGCTGGGTGTTTGGCTGGATTGGCTGCCGCTGGTATGGATGGGCTGGATTTTTCTTTGGCTGTGGAAGTCTTATCACCATGACTGCTGTCAGCCTGGATCGATACCTGAAAATCTGCTATTTATCTTATGGTAAGTACGAAGGTTTCTTGTTCCCTGGTAGACAAAACTAGTGGACTGTCAGACTGTACCTATTGTACCGATAGGTCATGAACAGAGATTGCTAATAACCTAAGAGACCAAGGATATTTCTATTTATAGCTCATTTTGTTCTAACATATGTTTAAAGACTTGAACCTGTGTCCATGTAGGTTTCTCTTAATTCTACTTTTATAGGAAATTCTGGTGTGTGGCTACAATGCTTTCGGAAAGTATCATTTCCTTGTATAAAGTGTGTAAGCTTTGCTGTGCAAACAAAGAAATAAAATGCATTGAAAGGATGTTAGTTCCGAGATGGTTTAGTTGGTTCCCCACATGGTAAGTGTAATTATTAGAAAGATGTTTCTGATCCTCATTGAGGACTCAGGCTCCCCATGATTTCAGAGATAAGGAATTCCAAAGAGTCCGGGTCCAAGTTAGAGAGCTGCGCTGCCGTGGGGGCAAGAAAGGGCACGTGCAGAAATATCACTCAACGTTCTTTTTGTAGTCTTGTAGGTAGAAAGATGAGGGAAGAGCCCGCCATAAAAAATTTTTAGGGACTAAAGTTTTCTTTTGTTTTGTTTTTGTTTTTGTTTTTAATAATTAGAGCATTCAACATGCTACAAATACATTTTTATTGCTTTTGCTTCCTGGGTTTCTGCGAACTTATTGAACCCAAAAGAGAAGCATTTGGGCCCTCACGTTTAATATTGAGAACGAGGCACAACCAGGGAATAATACTGGCTCCCTCTGGATAAAACTGCTCTGTGTGTTAATCTGTCAACCGTCTCATTGACGTTGTGACCATGGAGTCGGAGGATGGCCTGGAGCCTGAGGGGGGAAAGAGCAAGTCAACTTGATGCTTTCAGTGTGGTAGAATTTTCCTTTATATTTTAAGAGTTTATAGTCCCAAACTCCAAGGAAACCGTTCAGAGGGAGGGTAAGGTCATGGACCATCATCTTCACGACCTAGCACTTTTTTGTTGTTGTTTTTAAATTTACATCTCTTTTTCTAAACAGATTAAAACTTCCACTAGAAACAACTTAAATCAGAATTTCCAATGATATAAAAAAATATTCGATTGTATATATACTGGATGACTTCAGAGTCAAATTCTTTCTATAAACTTATTTTTGGTTATTTCAAATAAATTTTAAATATACTTATAGATTTTATAGATGAGAAGGCAGAATTTCCACTTCTTGGGGGATATTTAAGAAATTCTACACCTTGATGTCTCTGCTTTTTAAATATTTTCTTGAATGTAGGCGTGGTGTCAATGAAAGAGATGATCCTGCCCACCCCCAGAATAATTGCAGGGCATCTCTCCATATGGGAACTGTGTATATTTTTCCAGCTTCTTTTAAGATTGAACCTCAATAGAATGGTTTCACCATTTGCTTTGACTCATGCTTAAGCCCTCTACACAGTGTCTTAAAATGTTGGAATTAGAAGACCTCTTGGGAACATGTAGACCTTTCTCCCATTAATGTGATAAACTGTTTTAAGGCATCCCTGACAGACAGCCACTTGGCCTCTTCTTGAATAATTCCAGTGACCAGTGACGGGGAGCTTACTACTGCACAAGGCAGCCCATTCTCTGATTGGTCTGCTCTCATTGTTACAATGTTATTCCTTATATTGAGACAAAACTGCCTCCCAGTAACCTCCACCCATTGGTCCTAGTTCTGACTTCTGGAGCAACACAGAACCAATCTACTAATCTACTCCCTCCTGTACTTGACAGCCTTTCACCATACTCGAATGTAAGTATCCAACACCTCGCCAAGTAACCCTAACCATAAATGCTTATACGTATGCCTATGCACATCCCCCTAAATATATGTGGTTATCCGTGCCAGTGTTTTACCCATTATAATGGACAAGCAAGAGCTGACATAAATGTGGCTACCTGATCCTTACCTCTATCTGGTTGGGCTTGAGAAATTTGCATTTTGTGATAAAAAAATGCCATGTGTTTGAGAAAAATAGAGACAATAGAATACAGATACAATCTGTTACATTTCTTGCAAGAGCTGAGGCAAACACAAGACTGAAAAATCATGCTACTGTAGTCCTTTGTAGTTTGCAAATCAGGCCTGGCATTGTTTCATCGAACTCTTATCAAAACCTGTCAGCAATGTACGTCTTGTTTACTCTGTTTTACTGCTAAGAACATGGATGTCTAGAAAGGTTACATGAAAAGGGTCAAGTCCTAGAAACGAGAATTAGGCCGTACTGACTTCCCAAACCACGTGGCACTGAGCAGAGGCAGGCTGGAGTCTGTGAGGAAGAGATTATTTGGCTTTTGTTGAATGTGTTCCAATATTTCTTCTCTGCTACTCCAAACCAAGGCAGTGAGGATTCCCTTCTCCAGCCCTTTCTCTTTGAGGTGATAAATGGGGTGTGAAGGTAATTTTCCCAGTAGGCTGCAGCACTCAGATCAGGCTACCCTGTCTTTGGTGGGTGTGTTGAACTTTGGAAAATGATCACTAGGGTTCTACAGCGGTTTTGTTTTTTTTTTTTTTTAGATGACTACACTGTTTCTTCTTCTTGGAATTCTCTTTTGCTTGATGGAAACTATTCCTGAAAAACCTAGAGGTTAATTTTGTTTTCCTGAAAATATTTCCACAGAACTACTTTTTCTTTTTGAAAATTTTTTAATGTATATTTATTTTGAGTGCACGCGCGTGCGAGAGAGAGAGAGAGAGAGAGAGAGAGAGAGAGACAAAGAGACAGAGCACAAGTGGAAGAAGGGCAGAGAGAGAGGGAGACACAGAATCTGAAGCAGGCTCCAGGCTCTGAGCTTGTCAGCACAGAGCCCTACGTGAGGCTCAAACCCATGAACCATGAGATCATGACCTGAGCTGAAGTCAGAGGCTTAACCAATTGAGTCATCTTTAATGTTTATTTGTTTGAGAGAGAGAGTGAGAGAGAGAGAGAGAGAGCCAGTTGGGGAAGGGCAGAGAGAAAAGGAGAGAGAGAATCCCAAGGAGGCCCTGTGCTGCCAGCACAGAGCCTGATACAGGGCTCAATCTCATGACCGTGAGATCACAATCTGAGCCGAATGCTTAACTGACTGAGCCACGCAGGCACCATTCCACCCCAATTACTTTTGCAGAACACGATACCTCTAACTAAATCCTTTACCTCTCTTGCCATGGCTGTGTGAGCATGACTGCTGTGTTAGTAATGTTCGAAGGTTCAAAATCTGCTCCCGTGAAGCAGGGTCAGTCACTTTACGGTCACAGGCAGTAATGGTGGTGGCCCACCGACCCCCACCAACAAGTGCTTATGAGGACAAATGAGATGAGAGACATGGAAGATTTTAGGGAGAAGGGTATTTAAAGGCACAAACAATGTGTTACCATTTCCACCTTTCCCAAAGGACTCTATCTTGGATGAACCATTGATACATGCTTTTTGGCGCTTGGTCCTTCTGGTCTACCAATGGGCCTTATATTGTATAGGATCTCAAAGGTCATTCTAGATGCTTTCTTAAGATCCTTCCTTCATTGTCTTCGGCACCCTGTCATCTTTCTACTGCCCCTCCTTCCTCAGCTTTTGTCCCTTCCCCTCCCAAGGCTCCCGCGTGCCTATGGAAACCTTCCCTGTGAAAGCACTTCTAGTTTTATTTGCGTGGAAAAAGGCCCATGCTCTGGAACTTTTCTCCCTTCACTCCACTCTCCCTCAGAGCTCAGTTATCTGACCACTTCTCCCAGAATCCAATGGAATAACTCTTTGGATGTGGAATTTGACATATCGAGGGGAGGTATTTGGGTACAGGGCAGATTACATCCCGGTAACGCTTTTCTTCTACCTCCAGGGGTTTGGCTGAAAAGAAAGCACGCCTACATCTGCCTGGCAGTCATCTGGGCCTATGCTTCCTTCTGGACCACCATGCCCTTGGTAGGTCTAGGGGACTACGCGCCTGAGCCCTTCGGAACCTCATGCACCCTGGACTGGTGGCTGGCCCAGGCCTCCGTGGGTGGCCAGATTTTCATCCTGAACATCCTCTTCTTCTGCCTGTTGCTCCCAACGGCTGTGATTGTCTTCTCCTATGTGAAGATCATTGCCAAGGTTAAGTCCTCCTCCAAAGAAGTAGCTCATTTCGACAGTCGGATACATAGCAGCCATGTGCTGGAAATGAAACTGACCAAGGTAACTACAGTAACAGTTTACAGAGGTGTTTTGTAATCAAATAAAACATCGTGGGGCAAAGAGGATAGGGGATGCTAGGGACTGGAAGAACTTAGAGTCCCTATTCTTTACATACTGCTCAACTTTGCTATTATTTATCTAAACCTTTGTAGCGTTTCTTTTTCTTGTTTCTGTCTCTCATTTACACACACACACACACACACACACACACACACTTCTAATATTTACTTAGTTTGTATGGTGGATCTACTGGAAGCTTATTCTCTCTATGAATAAGATACTCTTGGTTCTCAAAAATTATTTAAGTCGTAATAAGAATAAGTTTTAAGCATCATGAGATACCTCAGTATTTATAGTTTTGTATGGACGTTGGTGGGTGTGAAGGACATTCTGTCATCTCGCATTATTTACCATGTCTGCTGTCCTATGGGAAGCTTATCTTAATGCAACATAATTCCTGCAGGGTTGAGTTTCTTGGTAAATACTAACGTCAAGAGTTGACAGCTGTTTAGACATTGTAGTGTAAGGAAAGGAACACACAGTTTGAAAACAGACTGGGGTTTTCATTCCATGACCAACACCTGTGAAGTTTGTGACCCAGAGCTAGACACTGAAATTCTTTGAATCTCTGTTTCCTCACTTGGGCAACAAGAATAATACCAATGATCTCATTGGATTGTGGTGGAGATTCAACTAGATAAAGCATGTTATTCTGTCATTTGGTGCATAGAAGGTGTTGAAGAAGCCGCAGTTCCTTTATTCTCTTGTAATTTTAAGGAATTCTGGGAAAGTATGAGGCAGTGGTCTTTCCACTTTCATCCTGTCTTACCCTTATATTGAAAAATATCTTTTCTGCACACACGTCAATATAAATGACATGCAGCTAACACCGTCAAACTGTATATTTGACACTAGCACATGCTAATTTCCATTTTACTTTTAAAGATGAAGAAATAAATGCAGATTAAGGTTCTAACCATTCCTTTTGGTCCCAACCAATCATATTACTGATATCCCACTTTCACGTGTCCTCACAACCTACTTGGGGACCACTTGTCTCGGGACCTATAGTAACAGTTCCCTCTGGACCCGGGGTCGCTTCTAATAAGTCAGGGCCTTGGTTCTAGTAATATTCCTCTCTTCACACTGCAGATGTTTCGAGATGGTGCAAGGGTGTCTTGGTTGCAAAGTGTGAGCTAGAGATTCTTCATGGTTCCGGTTGACTTTTCCTTCCCGAGCTCCACCTGCTGAATAAAAACAAGCTCTGAGGGAAGTTTTCATCACTGCAAATCTATGCTCAGAATCTAATCATAGAGTAATTCTTTTGGGATGAAAATGCAGAATCAGGAATCATAATCTACTTCTCTCTTATAATTGGTTGTAAATGGAAAGAAATGTTTCCATAAAATCCAGGATCAGGAATTCAGTTCTTCATTTCTAGCTCTCCTTTGTGCTCTTATCTGTGATTAAAAAAAAAAAAAAACACACACACACACAAAAATTAATCCAAATAAATTAATCCAAGTTAATTTCGGATTACATTTAATCCAAACCCTACTCAGGACCAAGTACTGTTTTCGGGACACAGTAAATACAACAATAATAAAAATTTCTCTTCTCAGTACTTTATGAAAATACGCCCAGAGAAACATCATAACATCCGTCACACTCGTAGGTGGATTTGAGTTCACCTTGCAGCCCCGTTATTTGGCATAGCAGAAAGCTGCTCAGATATCATCTGACTTCCTCTCACTTCTTGCCACCCTCCAATGGTATCAGCTTCAAGGCATTTTGATGGTCTTGATCAGTGAGTCCAGATCTTGATTCCCATGGGGTTCTTCTCCAGTTTCTCGGAGTCTGTTGTTATTCATCATCTGGTCTCTGGTTAATGGAATTGCCTAACTCCGCCCACAGCCAACTTTTATAAATACCTGGCATCTTGTTCTTTGTGTATTCTGGCGGGTGGGCAATTTGGTGAATGATTCTGAAAATCATTATGCATAGGAGGTGAAACTCGGCACACACCATTTAATTCGGGTTGTGGTCATCATTCTCCTTGACCTGGACTGGACTGTATAGATAAGTATGCAGGCTTACTCAGCCCAGATCAACCAGAGAGATACTAAATGAAAAGTGTAGGCATATATATGTATGATTTTATTTTATACGCATCTTCTTCTAACATACACTAAGTGGCATTATCTTACATATAATGTCTATATTGTATATGTTATATATTATCCAATATGTCTGCATCTCATTTGTATATATAAAACTTATATTAAAATAGCCTGAATATAACATGCTTCTAATTACTTACACTTAAACACAAAAAATGTAAATCAAAATTCAACCCACATTGATAAACATAGCTTTCTATTTTGGCATCTTCTGTGCTAAATTTGAAATGTTTTCAATTACTAGTTAATTTTGATCTTGATTTTTTTTCTACTGAGTAAAAATAAGTAAAAACAACCTCATACTGGGCCTTTTCATCGTCTGAGAAAGCTTTTCCTCCATTCAACTACCTCTTAGGACTGAGCGGTTTGCTCATTCAGTTGGTGCTTCTGATCTTTTAGAACAGCCTGGTCTGAAAGCTTACTACTTAAAGCCCACTTCCTTGGATTCTGGGGTCAAAATCATTTACTTTTCTGGAGGCTCTAATTATTTCCAGCTGGGTTATTATCTGGGCCTGCATTTTGTCAGGCTGGTCTTATCAACCTAGAAATTGACATTCCATTTACAAATATCTCTGTAGTTTGTAGGTTTCCTCTAATTAATTTTTTAAAAATGATGCTTTTGCCAGCCTTTTCTGGTAGGCTGAGATTTCACAAGAGTGCAAACAGAGGTGTGCAAAAAAAGCCCAAGAAATAAAACAAACAAACAAACAAAAGCTCTTTATATTTCTATGACTCAGTATAATCTCATTTTCGTGCCTACATTTGACTTTGTAACACAAACTTAATATTAGACAATCAGCATAAGTTCAGTTGCTTTGGGGTTTTCCTCCTTCTCCCAGGGCTATGTATAAATTCCAGGGAGATTTTCAGAATTCCGTAGTGTCAATGGGCGGGGGCTCTTGGTCTGGTTGTTCATTTATTGACTCTGGTATTGCTGAGATATTTAGGTTTCTTTCTGGTCTCAGTCATCAGCCGTCATGGGTCACTTTGCATCCTGCTTGTTCCGGTTAGAAGGTCTCTTTAAGCTCGTCAGCAATTCTAGTTACTTCCCTGTCCTTTGACTGCAACTCATCATGTGTATTTTGGGAGCTTGGCTGGGACCCTGGGAAGTTTCCTGCCCTGGGACCCTGGGACCCTGGGAAGGACCCTGGGAAGATATCCCTAAATGCATTAAGGGTCTTTTGCTCCCCCAACACCAACCCTGGCCCCTTGTGTGTAGTTCAGTGGAGTCCCTCAGGACAATTTCTCAAGGTCAGTTACCAGCTCCTCGGCGGTCCCTTCACCTTCCAGCTGTAGGCCTTTTACCCACTCTTGGGTGGGAAACGTGTAACCACGTGCATGCCTCTAAAATTGTTCCCATTCAGTAAGATTGATGCTTCCAGGCCTGCAAGTTTCTGGCTGTGGATGCTCGATGTCATTTTTCGCACATCCGAATCCCCTTTCTCTCAAGTATTTTCTCTCCTGTAAGTTTCAAATTTCTATTTTAAAACTCACAAGCTGAGAAATGAATGTTTTACTTCTTTGGATATTTCTGCTTGAAAAAATCTTCACACAATGCAGTGAACACTCTTGCTTCTGCTTTAATGAGGGGGGTGGTGGAGTAACAGGAAGAAAATACCAGAAGCACAGACTAATTTTTCCAAATATTATTATGTGGTATGGAATAGTACTTCATATTTATTCATTTAACACATGTAGATCATCTGTAAGTTTCAGGTCTGTAATTAGTATCTAGATCCTTTGGGATCTGGATTTCTGCTCATTTCCCTTATTTCCACCAAAACGCCTTCCTGATTGCCCCTGGCTAGTTGAAGTCCCTCTGTAATGAGCCATAGGAGCACTTGGAACACTTGCTTTATTGAATCACACACTGGTCCCTCTTCTTTGCTAGTAGGTAGGTGATCGCAAGTGCTACGCGTCCTGTGTGCTTCTGAGCCTCACTGCCTAGGGCCTCCTAGATGCTTAATCATGATCACGATAATGAATACATAATTGAATAAACTAAGTTCATCTAATTACCTTGATGAGCGGTAAGTGGTCCCTTGACCCCTGGCTGGAGATCCTCCGTCCCTTTCATAACTGAGAGGCATTTTGTTTTGCTTTGTTCTTTCTCCCTGAAGTCTTTTTAAAAATCACAGATGTAAATCTCTGCTTTCCTCAAATGATTATCTCTTATTGCGCATCGAGTGTTATTTATCATGGAGGGGTCATATTCAGAGACCCCCCCCCCCCCCCCCCCCCCCCCCGAGGAGGCTTCTAGGGTCAGTTTGTGGGAAAGTTGAACGGCATTGCTTTTTATTTTTTAAACCAATTAATTCATTTCCTCAGGTTCTTCATAAGTGCTCTTAGTTTAAATGTCACTTCTCAGAAGAGCATTTCCCGAATTGAATTCAAATCTTCCTATTACAACGTGTCACTACTGTCTTTACATTTTCTTCTTAGAGCTGGTTCTGACTTATAATTAATTTATGATTGCATATTTATTTTTGTGATTATTTGCTCAATGTCTGGTTTTAACATTAGTCATTAGTTGTTACTGTGGAGTAACAACTATATCATTTTGTTCGCTTTGTGTCCCCAGGACATAGCACAATGCCTCAAATATATATATATATATATATATACACACACACACACACACACACACACACACAATTATATATATATTATATAATAATGTCATATGGTATAACATATAATTGATTATAGTATATTAGTGTAAGTTAAATATAAATAAATATGAATAAAGATGTATACATAAATATATGTTAAAAATATATATTTGTTGAAGGAAAGAATTTCAATTAGGAATCAATCCCA